TTAAGTGCTATAACAATGCATACCCTCTGAGCGGTAAGACTGCAACTATTACAGACTCCCACTGTTAAGGGCTATGATTTAACTTTTGGTTGTTTTTTCTTTTTTGCTTTCTCCTCCAAGCTATCCCGTTTGGCAAAATCCCCATTCTGGAAGTAGACGGAGTTACCATTCACCAGAGCCTGGCAATAGCAAGATACCTCGCCAGAGAATCAGGTAACACATATTTGACTATTTTCTTGCTCTGTTCTGCACCCACCTTTAATGCTCAGGTAAAATACATCCACAGCAAAAGTACAAACAAACCAACAGCTTGGCAAGCCCAACCAAGCAGAAGTCACCAGCGTGGCAATACTGGTACTAGTGCTTTTCCCAGGCGCAAACAGCTAATAGTTATCAGCCTCTCGTTGCATCTGTGGTTTGTCTGCCAGCGCCAAGTGCTGACCACAGAAATGCAGCGTACCATATAGGATGCTATTAGAGGTGCCACTCAAAGAGCGATGGTTTAAAAAGCACTGAGGAGCACTGTGTGGTGGCATGCCCGTGTTCAGCGGCCTTCCTTACCGTAATTTGGTGCCAATTTTGCTCGCTGGGTTGGGGCTGCTGTGGCAATGCTGATGAGACCTCAGGCTACATCCCCTGCAGTTCTAAGATCAGAGAGAAGAAAAAGACCAAGGCACATCCGCCAGGATGCTGTGTGACAGGGTTTAAAGTCACGTAGAAAGTAAAAAAACAGACAAGAAGAAGATTCAAAGTAACAACCTGTAGTGTGAAATGCTACGACGTTCAGAGCTGAAGTCACGTGGCTGAGCTTCGTCTTTGCAGTGTAAGTGGGTATGCCTAAAGGAAAACTCGGAAACAATCCCCCCTTACGCCTGATTGAGTTTCCCCTCTGCATATAATACCTGGGGTTTGGGCTGACTTCTCCAGCTAGTAAACTTTATTCACCTGTCACTGCACGACAGAAAGCATGTACCTGTGGCTTCCCTAAGGCTCTGAGGGCAGTTTCCCCTGGAGCTAAACTTTGAGCTGCCAGGCTAACCAGAGAGATGACCAGGATTAGAGATTATCAGAGTCAGCAGGCAGAGCACTCTGAAGCAGATTTAGGCAACAATTCTGAGCTGGCAGAGAGATTAGATCAGATGGTGACATCACTTGTATCTTTAAATACTTACATGCTATGGAAGTACTCGACGGGTTAGATAAAGTGATACAAGACTTAGTAATGCAAGTAATCAAAGAGAGTAGTCAGGGCTTGCTTTAGGTCAGCAAGCTTTCATTCAAAACCATCTGCAAAACTGGTCTGGTCGAAGGCGGACGTGTTCGTGGTGTGCTGAATGTCAGCAAACTGAAGAGAAGGGCTGGGAAGCAAGTACTATCGTACTTTTTTACACTCTGAGCAGAGAGATGTAACCAGCCTTTCAAAATATCTCACATTTTCCAACTGAGGAAACAGGCAGAAGTGCAGAGCCTTATTCTTCAAGGCACTAGCACAACACATTTTCAAGCATGTCTGCAACACTGCGTTCCTGCCAATTTCCTCCATCCTTGATACAATCTACTACTTGCAAGAGAAGAGAATGACGAGCGTCCACCCGGTAATAAAAACGATGAGAAAGCCTGCCTTCCACCCACGCTGCCTCCCTCCCCGTCTGCTATCGGGAGGCTGATCTGGAGCTCCTTTTACGGTCTGAAGTTCTGATGTAGGCATTTCCCCGACACCTTTTCCACCGGCTTGCAACAGCCCCCTAGGGTTCTGGCAAATCCTAGCACACTCAGACCACGCTGTTCTCCTTTTGGTGTTAATCACGCTGTCAACTACAGCAGGGAAAAAAGCATACATGGAAGGGGGGAAAAAATATTTTCAAATTCATAGTGAAAACTTGCTACTTCTTCTGTTATGTCTGCATATGTATCACTAAGCCTTTAAAATTAAGAAATGGCAACGACTCTTTACCGAAGGCTCACAGAACTTGATGCCCAAAAGGAGAGGCACATCCCTTGCCTTCAAAAGCATAAAGTTTCAGTAAGGGAGATGACTTGGCAGAGGAAGGATGTATGGTTTATGGGAGCCACAGAGCTTCCAGGTGAGGCTTAAAGAACCGAGAGTGGAAGAGAAGGATGACTTGAACCTGCACAGAGGTGAAAGCATGAACACAGGTCTGTGGAACGAGAGCAAGAGAAAAAAGTAGCATTGAGAAGACTGCAGGCAAGCCAAAGGACAACAGGGGAGGAAGCCAGATTTATAAACAAGACAAAGTTTGGCTAAGGTGCCTGATTACTATGAAGTAATCAAGAGCAAGCAGGATGTTATGAGAAGGTTCAAAATGGGGCTAAATCTCAGGACAGAGGGAA